ACCCTTGATTCACGGAGCTCGAATATCGAATATCCAACTTGAAACTAACTTCACTGCGGTGTTTTCCAGAGCTTTAGTTTTATCGTTGAATAGAAATCGTCGATAGAAATTTAGCTTTCATCTGTTTAGAAGATTTGTTTTAATATGTAACTCCTCCTGCGATATTATGCCAAATTAAACAATAAAAAACGCAACATTAGAAATGTACATGAGATTTTATTGTGTAAATAGCATTTAAATCTTACCTCTGTGTCGTTTGTCCCTCAGTAGCCTACTTTCCAGTTTAGTTGGCACAGGTTAGCTAGTCCTCAGAGAGAATGGGTCGTTTCCGGTTGTAAGGGTTAAAAATAATTAGTCATTAAACATAATAAAAACAGTTCTCATTAACTACATTACTCAATTAGCTAATAAAAATAAAAGCACAAGAGTCATTTCCAGATAATTAACAAAACAATTATTTAGGAATAAATCTAATTATTGTTTTATTTATGTATATTTTATTTTGATAAGGACGTCGCACAACTTCCGGTGGATTGTATTTCCTGTTCCAGCTTGAGCTCTCTCCATGGCAACCAGAGTAGCCACACGGTTATCACATCCCGTTACTTTCTCTGGAAGCTAGGAGCCGAGAGTTATTCAGCAGCGACTCAAAGATAGAAGAACATTAAAATATTAGTGATCATTGTTTTAAATGTTGAACAAAAGAGTTTAGATAAATGACGTCCTCACAAAAAGCCCGGTTTGGAAGCGAAGCGGCGCGAAACACTAAATGGAGAATGGCAGGTGAGTTACATTGGAGTGATTTTTTTTAAATAAATTTATCTCTAATTTGTTAACTATTACAAATAAAACTTTTTATAGCAGCTTGAAGGATATGAAGCTATGATAGGCTTTGTTAGCTTATCATTTTGGGATTATTAAGAAGATCCTGTTAGCTTCCTGACACACTTTGTTTGTCTGGCAACAGCTGGCTCTTTATGAGACGCTGAAGCTTTAAGACATGGACCTCTGAAAACCTTTTGTGTATTGTCTCTCACTCATACAAAGACCTTTGTGTCCTATATTATCACATGTGTGTGGAAACAAACAACAAGAAACAAAAGCAGAGTGGACACAGAAAGCATCTCCCTTTCTTCTTTTGTTAGAAAGTGAAACGTCAAAGATGCTGCTGTGTTCCTCTGAGGCTCCATTAATCATGCAGATCCAGCTGAAGAAGCTTTTGTTGTGGTGTGTGTGTTGGTGAGGGGTTTTCATGACTTAAGGAAACCTAAATAATTCAACCAGTACGACATGGTGATTGAAGAATCTCAAATGGCCCTTGCACTCTGTGTGATGGAAAACGCTCAAATCTGATCAGCCGGATTTGTTTTCACACTCCTGCACACACACACACACACACATTGAGGATGAGGAACTGGTGTTGTGTTACTTATGAGCTTTGTGTAGAAGTCTGTAAGAAATCCATCGCTGAGGCAGTTGCTTCACTTTCACTAATTCCACTCCTGTCTTTTGTTTCTTCCCTTTCCCGTTGCTTCAGCTCCCTCTGACCCACCGCCGAAGCGTCCTGGTGCGGCCCCCCAGCCTTGGCCCGTCCGCCCCCAACTTGCAGAGCGCGCCCACGGGTCCCACYCCACTCCTCTTCCTCACCTGCCTCTCTTCCACACCCGCCATGCAGAGGAGAGCGCRGAGCGGCCTCGCTTGGTCACTATCGTCCGACCGAGTGGCCAAAGTGAACTACGGAAGGTGATTTTAAACAAACCAGCATTTCATTTATTCAGTTATCACATTAAAGTGCCTGCGACATCACATTTTTGTAACAAATGTGAATGCATTTTTGGAAAGATAACATTCATTTTATATTGCAAAACAAATTTCACGCCGTTGAGATGAACGCTTGTTGAGATATTTGCATGTGAAGAAACAGGAAGTGATGTCAAAGGGGAATGTCTGCATGTAAACAGAGTGATGCTACAGTAATTAGAGAATAATTTTATGTTCTTTTAGAATATTTTGAGTCACCATCAGAGTTGAAAAAGAGTTTAAATAAGATTGTTTCAATAAACAAAGACCAGAGAGTTTCTTCCCTTTTGATGTCACTTCCTGTTTCACTTTGGCTAAGCCAAATTCAAGACAAAATATGCCAGTTATGAGACAAAACAGGTAAAATCATGTGTATTATGCAAATTTTCTTAAATATAAATATGTTTTCTTTGACTTTTTGTATTTGAAGGACAAGCATGTCACAGGCCCTGAAACAGCAGGAAAAAAAACAGACAGCTTGAACCGATTAGCATCAGTTGACCCGTTAACCAGCCAGCAACATCAGACAGAACCATTTTATTTTGTATCTAATACTTTTATGTCTTAAAAGGATGTTTGTCTCCTTTGTTCACAAGGTCACTGTGCTGTTGAACCGAAGGGGCGTCGTGTCCTTTGAGCAGCTGCTGTTGGACATCTCAGAGGCGTTGGGGTTTCCACGCTGGCACAGAGGAAGAGTCACACGTCTGTACACGACTCACGCACGAGAGGTGAGGCCAAACTGGGACTGTGTTAACTCTTTAAACCCCTTCACTCAACTTTACAGTCAGAAACTTTGGGGTCCAGATTAATGCTTAAGCCCTTTTTTGTCTTTCCGTCCAAGGTTAAGGGCGTGTGTGATTTCTTCCGTGGCGAAGTAGCCTTCCTGGCTCTCGGTAAGGCTCGTCCTGAGCTGAGCAGCGTGCAGGACGCTCTGGAGGAACTGTTTCCAGAGCACTCGCATTATCGTGTCAGTGTGCTGCGAGCCTGGGAGAAGAAGCTCCGGCCAGTGCCAAACAAAGCTGCCAAGGCTGACAGTGGCTACGGCGAGGGGACCGACAGCGGCGGGYCCAACCACGAGACACGCCGGGACACGGATCCAAACGTCAAGAATCGTGATGGTGCAGAACATACAGCCACGCATCAGCAAGACAGCTACAGTCCCAACCCCCAGAAGTCGTACAAAAAGAGTTTGTGTGGAAAACCTGCTCACCTTCCCAACAACCTGCAGAYGTTACGTGTGAGAGGAGGAGTCAAAGAGCAGCCTTCTGGTTCTGATGCGTTTAGAGACACGGGGACACCTTCTCCCATACTGTGTGAGAACTGCTTGGCAAGAAGGGCGAAACATGCAGGTCCAGAACTGATGYGCACCCTGTCAGGACGGGTCCCCCTCCCTCCTGTGTTGAAGAAACCAAAAGAAAGTTCTCAACAGGAAGRGAAAKGGTCSGCTGTCCGTATCAACCCTCCACCTCCTCGGCCAATCAGAAGAGACGGGGAGAGGAGTTTGATGCAGCTACCACCTCTGGCTCCAGCTCACGCAGACGCTCCTCCCTCAGACGACGGCGACCTCACCTCGTCGGACGTCGAGCGCCTCTACGAAATCGGACGCGTGATCGGCGACGGGAACTTCGCCGTGGTGAGAGAGTGTCGCKGACGGGGCGACGGCCGAGCCTTCGCCGTGAAGATCGTCGAGCGCTCCAAGCTGGTCGGCCGCGAGCACATGATGCAGAACGAGCTGAGCCTCCTGGCCAGTCTGTGTCATCCTCGGATAGTGCGGCTGCTGGCGCACCATCACACCTGCACGCACTCCTACCTGGTGATGGAGCTGGTGAGTGGAGGGGATCTGTTCGAGACCATCAGCCAAAGGGGGAAGTTTCCAGAAGCTGAGGCGGGACTGATGGTGTCAGATGTGAGCGACGCGCTGAATTACATCCACTGTAGGAGCATCGTCCACAGAGACCTCAAACCAGAGAACCTACTGGTGGGTGAAAGGGTAGATTTATATCTGGAACTCACTATCCTCTTTGGGTCTGCGGTAAAGGTTTATTACATGTTTATTCTTTACTCAGATCGAGAAAGTTACTGCTGCCATCTGTCGCCTGAAGCTGGGAGACTTTGGTCTCGCCATGGTTGTGACTGAACCCGTCTTCACCATATGTGGCACACCGACGTATGTAGCCCCAGAGATCCTGCGTGAGACAGGTGAGGGCTTTTAGGAGACTCCAGGCTTAGATGGCTAGGACTCTGCCAGTTTTACAGACACTGAGCTAAAAATGTGGTGTGGTAGTAGCTGAGGGTCATCCGTAACCACAGGTCTATAAAGTACTTGGAAAAAAATAACAAAGTAAAAGTAAAGATACCTTAGCAGAAAATGACTTTGGTAAAAAATAAATGTCACTGATGAGAAAACTACTTAAGTAAAAGTCATAAATCTGTTCACAAAAATTGGGAAAGTAGAAGTAAAYGTACTTTTTCATGCTCTCTAACAAATAAACTGAACCAAGCTGGCTCCACAAAAACAAGTTGAGTAAATTGGTCAATTTCTTTAAAAGAAGATATCGCCTCAAATTTACTCTACTGGGTCTAATGGAAATAGAAGACATGATTTAATTGAGTAAATTCAACACTTAATTTTTTTAGAGCACATAAACATCTCCTTTCATGATGAGTTCAGACAGATTTAATTTATAACAACTAGGTGTTAAAATTTAAAGTAAAGAAGTAAAAGTATCATTTTTAGGTTTTAAAAGTAACAAAATAAAAGTAAAAGTCAGCATTTAAAAAAAATAATTGGTAAAATTACAAATCCTTAAAAAAGTTAAGTACTGTAAAAAGTAAATGTACTTAGTTACTATAAAACTCTGTCCGTAACACACTGTTTGAGCGCTAACACATCTTGCAAAACTGTCTCCATTCCTTCTCAGATTTTAGATTAAAGCTCTAGCATGACTATTTCAAAGATGAGTCGGCTTTTTGTCTTGTTTTGAAAAGATTTATTAATATTTACCCACCAGGTTATGGTGTAGCAGTGGATGTGTGGGCTCTGGGTGTGATTCTTTACATCCTACTGTGTGGCTTCGCRCCATTTCGAAGTCGGGACAGAGACCAGGAAGAGCTCTTCAAGTTAATAAAACAAGCACAGCTTCACTTTCCATCCCCTTACTGGGACTCCATCTCAGAGGGTAAGACAAACAGAACTGTCACAAATATTCACACATACCTTTACATATGTGTTGTTTGTGTGTCTTCCTGTGGGTGTGTAGAAGCTAAAAGCCTCGTCAGATCTCTGCTTCAACCGGATCCCGCTGTGAGGCTGACGGCGGAGCAAACCCTCCAGCACAAGTGGGCGAAAACGATGGCTTCAATATGCAGGCAGAGGGCGCTCACAGACAAAACTCAGGCTTCAGAAGAGCCACAGAGGGTTCAAAGACCTGCTCAGACAGATGCAGCAGAGTCACTAACAGACAGAACAGCAGGACGCTGCGGCAGCAAGGACAAAATCACTCTCAGGAGAAACGATGAGCTCACAGCAAGAGGAAAAGATGAGACTAAACCACAAAACAAAGGTAGTCAAGACAAACTTCCTTTAACCTCTGGAGAGCAGCAGAAAACACAGGATCCAGGTCCCAGGCTGCCAATAACTGAGCCCGGTGACCTTATTCATTGTGCTTTGTCTGCAACCCAAACCAAGTCATCACTCCCAGAATCAAAACCCAACACCAAACCGGAGTCACCTTCAGATTCACCTGCTTCACGCAAAACCAGCACTCCAAACCAGAGCAGGTCACTCAGCTCAACTCCACACATCGTCCAAACCAGCTCAGACTCTCCTTCACCAGCACTACAGCTGCCGCCCTCCTAAAACACCCCGCTGAGAACCCTAACGAGGAAAACCGTCAGTCCTTTTGTCTCTGTGGACAATACCTCCCAATTCTTAGCAGCTGAATCATCACATAACTAAACTATCTATCTTTTGTAGATTCAAATATCAAGTCACCTATTGGGAAGGTTCTGTTATGTAGCAGTAAGAACGAACACTCGTGCTTTTTAAAAAAAACTTTAAGCTGTCACTTTCTAAAAGTCTGACACAGTTTATTATATACTTCTAACCTAAAGTATCAGCAACTTTTCCAGCTCCTGTAATAAATGCTCATGCATCGTACTTGACTGTTTATTTTTATGAGGTTGTTTTTGTCGACACGCTGCAGCTGATTAGATTTACTCTTAATGGCAATCTGCAGCGGCGTCTGCAAATCAAAGTGTTGTGAGATCCTGTGACAAGTGTTGCTCAACACTGAGGCTGGTGTGAGACCACAGCTCCTGGGTACACTGCATTTCTGAGGGGGGTATCTCTCCCTCGCCGTGCCACACAGGCCAAATAAAGCATATCTTTGCAACCAATAGGGGTGGTTAATCCTGTCCCTTCCTCCCTCTGGACTGCAGACAGCTGACCGTGACATCCTGCCCCACCCAGCCTAAAGTATTCTCCCCACCCCACCATCTCCTCCCTGTTTGTACCCGTTCCCAGGCTTTGTGGCTTTGAAAGCCATGTGCTGAGTCTGGGCCACTGATGGGTTAACAGACAAAATGCTTTTGAACCAGTATCAGTGGCACAGGCCAAGCGTAATTAAGGCGTTTCATAATTGCCGTTTTTCTATTTAAATTATTTATGCTTTCACACGCACACACACACACACACACACACACACACACACACACNCACACACACACACACACACACACACACACACACACACACACACACACACACACACAGAGGATTCCTTCAAAACAGCTGAACCACTTTTATAGACTGCAGCAGCCGCACCATAGAGGGCAGTTCATGTACCACAGACTATAGGTAGTTTTTGAAGTTTTACTTTTACTATTACACATTAGTTACAGGTTATTTACTTAAAGGTATTTTATTAGAACCAATTCTGTTACAGCTAAGACCTGCTATTAAAGTCTTACTTGAACAAAATTTATAGAAAATTAGAAAAATGTGAAGATAACTGGTGACTGGTGTATGTTAAACAAAACATCTGTTTAATAAGGCCTTATATATATATCCCTGTTGTGATCAGTTYTAGTAAACCTTGTAATTAAATTATTGGTAATGCTTATTTTCACCATAAGTTTATTTATTAATTTGCTAAAAAGCTCACGTCAATGCGAAAATAACTCAACCCAGAGCATAAATAAAAAAACTGTTTTAAAGCCACTAGGGAAAATTTAAATATTTTAAATGTTCACAAAAGTGTTGTTCTATATTTTATCTGTCAATTAAATAATTAACTAATCGTTTTAGATGTAATTTTATGAACTGTTTGGATAGTTTTATTGATAAGAAAACACTTATAACTCCCTCATAAATTTAATCACAAAATAACCTTATTTTTACAGCTACAGCTAAATGTACAGAGCATCTATGCATTTTGATGTCAAAATACAAAAAGCTACTGTAAATATGCTTCAACACGTTTTAAAAACTAAATTCATACAAAAAATTGATATAAGGAACATGTCCATAAAAATGTATCAGAATTTATTTGAGTTTGCGCATAAAGGAACATCAGGTTCTGCCATCTTTTTTAAAGCGGACCAGCAGGTGCTCAGCGCGCATGCGCGTTTCGAAGTCTTTAAATACCCCAAGTCATCTGGCAAAACAAAACATTCTGCTGTCAGCCAATTTACGGCTGAAGCCAAGCAGATAAAAGCGAGCAGAGCCGCCGTGATGCTGGCGAAATGTTTACTTTTCAATACGTAACTTTTATCTGGAGTCACCGTTTAACGAGCCTTTTCGAGTAAATTCAAGGCTGTGTAAAGGAAGGGGGGGGTGACGGTCAGGGGGGGAAAATACAAAACAAAACAAAGATGGCTGTGTAACCAGAAAGAAACAAAACTCCCCTGTTAGCTTTAATCATCGACACTTCCCGTGGTTCCCGTGGACAGTGAGCCGGTACCGGAGAGGGGAGCAGCCGAACTGGGCCGCTGGCGCACGTCGGTACCTGCTGTCGTTCGCGAATAACGGCGTCGAGTTGCAGCTGAGTTGTTTTTGTTCTGCCTGGGCTCAGGGAGAGGACCGCTGCTGTATTTGTGTCAACGTAGCTAGTCTGCTAGCCTCGCTGTAAGTCAACTAAACTAGTCAACGTTCACCTGTTTGTTAGCGACTAGTACATTCTGCACATGMTCGCGTTATTACGTGACAACTGGTTTGTTAAAATTTAAATGTTTGGGGTTTTATTTTTGATAAGTTAGCCTCCGTTCCGTCCTGACAACCTGCTTCCTGAAAGTGTTAGCTTAGCTAGTTAGCTCTCCGTGTCAGCTGACCGTTATAGCTCGACAGGTTGCAACTGAGCTAACCGTGCTAACATTTCGGGCTCAGCCTGGTCGGGCCGAGTGGAAAAAAAAAAAAAAAACAGGACTTTTCTACACGACATGTCTTCACTGGAGGAAAGGGACGTGGGCGTTGCGGCTGCCCCAGGCTCCTCCTCGGCCGGCCTGGGGGTCGGAGCCGTGGGGGCAGCGGTGGAGGCTGCGGCCGGGGTCGCGGCCATGCAGGAGGACGTCGGGATACGGCGAGGAGGAGAGGGGCCCGAGGCTGACCCGGACGAGCCGCCCAAGAAGAGGGTGAAAATACCCGAGGGAGAGTCAGGAAAGCTGGAGGAGAGACTGTACTCAGTGCTGTGCTGCACCGTGTGCCTAGACTTGCCCAAGGCGTCTGTTTACCAGGTAAAAGTGGCGTCAATCACAACCTCTCCCCCCTCCTCAATAACCCTTAACTCGGTCAAACATCAGCTGAAACACTTTGTACAAACCCCCCAAACCACGAGGCCACCTGTTGAATGTGTTGGCCAGTTCAATTTACTGTTAGTGATCCAACACACAGCCTCCAGCAAAGTGAAGCCATGAGGCTGAGAGGCAGACGCACTGGGCCAGGTGGTCTGCAGTTCTGGCTCAAGTTTATAACACTACTGTAAAATATCCTCAACAAAACCACATCCCTCCCCAAAACCCCCACATACCAACTTCACCTGAGCTCCAGCTGCTCCAACACATGAGCACTGATCACAGCCTTTATGAATAATATTTTGCACTTATATACGCTTGTAATTAATACATCCTTTCCTGCAAAAGTGCCTTCTTAAAATGTAACTTTGCGTTTATGTTTGCAAGTTGCAGAGAAACCTCTTGTAGGACCCTGATTTTAATTTTATCATAATCAAAAATAAACTGGATTTAGGAACTCGCATGTCTAATATTGTCAACTCTGAACATGTTTTTGTATAAATATACCAGTGTAGCCTTAATAGTCCCATTTTCCCAGGTTATCCTTAAGCACCTAATAGTAAACAGTTTAAGTAGTAAATACATGCTTGTAACAATTGCCGCTAACACATTTTCTCCATGTTCTCGTCTGGTTTGCCCACTTATCATCCTCAGTAATGATGTTTTCCTTTTCCCCTGAGCCCTCACTTTATTGATGTTTTTTGCCACAGTGTACCAATGGACATCTGATGTGTGCTGGCTGTTTTATCCACCTCCTGGCTGACTCCCGACTTAAGGAAGAGCAGGCCACGTGTCCCAACTGCAGGTAAACCAAACTGCCCAGAGCGGGACATAAAAACACAAACAAGTAGATCCTTAAAACAGGGTAATACACAGACGAGTGTTTAGGTGGATTGGAACAAAAAGACAATGTTTTTATGTGTTATTTCATCTCATTTATTGAAAAGGACAATTCACGTTAATCAAAAATGCACCGGAATTAGCACAACAGCTAAATTTCATCTGTTGTCTTGAGCAGATAAAAAAAGCAGTTCTTAAACAKGTTCATAAAACAAATACAATTGATTAATATAGTTCAACAAAARACACAAACATCACACACCACAAATTACAGTCGAAATAGATCTATTTTACAAATGAATACATTGGTTTATTAATATTATTAGTATAAAAACCATTAAGATGCATAAAAAGGAGTAAAATATGTATGAATTTGTGTTTCCAGATTCTGTTCCTTTTTTGTTTTTTCTAAGAGGTAAAAAAATCTGCACTTGAAGGGCAAACATAATGTAGAACATAACAATAATTTGTGCTAGGCAGAAACCTTTAAAAGTAATATTACATGCATGCCCTTCTGTTGAATATTGAGCCACAAATTACTTCACTCCAGACTTTTTAAATTACATTTTGATCATCCTGATATGAGAGGGTCCAGAGTTATGGTTTTATTTGTTTTGCTAATCAAGACGTTTCTGGAAAATCAGTCTGGATTCTATTTTAGTGTATTTTAATGAGAATTTCTAAAGAGGAAACCTCAAACCATATTTGTATGTTGGTACTTCCCTGTTTGATTTGAAAAAAAAAAAAGCTCAGTTGTGCAAAAAAAAGAAGCAAAACATGTTTTTTTTTCCTGCTCAAAATTGTTGTTGGTACTCCTCAGAAAAGTGCTTCGAAATATTCTTTAGAATTAAATGTTGGACCTTTTCTTGAAGTGACCAACAAATAAAGGATTTATTCACAATTTTAAAAAAAACAATCAATGTAATAATATATCTCGTTACATTACTGCTACTTAACCCTCAGTTCAAAGTAACAGCTCACACTACATTTACAACATGTTTGTTTACAGTCGTAACTTTATCTAGCCATGAAACAGATAAAACATTTTTAAATGACAAAAAATGCACTTTACATGTTTTTAATGCAGAACAGAAGAGCACACATCTCTGGTTAATTAGAGTAGTAATTTTAAAGGAGACATATCATGTTTTTAAATCCTTCTTTTTCACATTTAAATCCTTCAGTTGGGGTCTATATAAAGTGGAACTGCAACTCTTTGGTCTGAATTCCTCTTTATTGTATCTCCACAACTCTTTTCTGAGGTGTGTCTCAGATTAACACGTTTTGAGGCTGTCTCTTTGAATCCAAATGAGGCACTACACACCCCGCCCCCTCCAGCTTCCAGAGCGGTTCATTCTAGTTTGATAGAGGGGGTTACAACGGCTGAAAACATTGATTTTGCATGACATGTCCCCTGTAAAATGTTGCTTCATGGTCAGACCCTTCGAAGCCTCTGTCTCCATCCAGGTCTCTGGAACACTCTCCAACTGTCCCTTTACTCCACTGACTCTTTTAAGAAACATCTAAAGGCATTTTTATTCAGACAGGCTTTTAGTTAAGCTTATTTTTCTGTTTCTTTAAACGAACAGAGAACCAATCTACTGTTTTTAGTTATTTTGCTCTCTGTGAAGCACTTTGTGTTTGTGACAGGTGTTATAAATAAAGTTATTAGTCAGGTCAAAAAAGTTATGAAAATATTTAGTAAGTAAAGCAGCTTAGTCTCCCAGCTGGGGCATGTCCTTATTAATAAATGTGCTGAAATTCCTCCAGTTCAGTAAGAAACTGAGTAATGTATTTATTTTGAATCATTTGCCAAGAGCAACGATTTTGACAACTAAATATCTGCAGTATCTTATAATTTATATATAATAAAAGATCAGACATAGTTTGGTTTCAGTTTCTCTCGTGACATTTTTAGGATAAAGTGCAACAAAGACAGACATAAAGAAAAGTTGATGCTAAAATGAAAATTATCGGTTACATGAAAGCTTTGGCTTTACTTTTATTGATGATGAGGAGGAGAAGGAGGAAGAGATGAGCAGTGGCTAAAAAAAGCGTGTTCATAATGTCCTCTGAGTTTGGAGGTTTTAAAGCGCTCCCACACAACTTTCAGGTTGACTTTAGAGTAAAGTAGGGAGCTGTTTGACAGGTTGTTGGCGTGTTGGGAAGAGCTGCACCAAGATTCAAATAAGAAAACCAAATTATTTTAGCCCAAAGCTGCACACCTGAACCTCAGCTCACTGTAGCACAAAACCTGCCTTTATTTTATTTTTAACCTTTATTTCAACAGGCAAAACATTAAGAAGAGTTTCTTATTTACAATGAGAGTGCAAAAACACTTAAAACACTTAAAAATGGGAAGATGGGGAAGGGGAAACAACATAAACAGTACATAAAACATAAAAAATGAACGGTGCATTCATTGCCCGCTGCTGTGCTAAAGTCTAAATTTAAAAACAATTTACCCGTCCACTTATAATCAACAAAAATAACTTCATAGTTTGCACTTTTCCATTCAAGATCCGCTGAAATTTACCTCAATCAATGTCAAATTTTCCATCTCCCGGCTGGACTGGTACAAACAAACAGAGTGAGCCCTCATCTATTAAACGCACCGCCGTGTGAATCATTGTTTTGTGTGTTTGCGTAGGTGTGAGATCAGCAAGAACTTGTGCTGCAGGAATCTGGCGGTGGAGAAGGCCGTCAGCGAGCTGCCGACAGAATGTACCTTCTGCCTAAAACAGTTCCCTCGCTCCAGCCTGGAGAGACARCAGAAGGAGGAGTGCCAAGACAGGTTTCATGTCCCACACTCAAAGAAAACTGTTTTATGGTTTTGTTTTGTTTTAAAAGTGAGAAAAGTCTCCCCAAACTAAACAAAGGTTTCCAAACATTAAGATCAACACACAGTATAAATATATGTATATATATATGTTTGTGATTAATTTGGAGAWGGAGGAGGAATCACTTATAGTCATGCTGAAATCCTATGGGGTTGTTTCTCTGGCAACAGGTGACCCTGCCTTGCGCCTGTGTTAGTGTTGCTATGACAGCAGCCGCGGCAGGTGTTTTTATTTTTTTATTTTTGGTAAGGTCAGACAGAAACCTGGAGGCGGAYAAGTTGTTCTCGGGAAGAGCAGTCATTTGGATTTAAACTCTGTATAATTTTCATTGTATTATACAGTGAAAGGTGGAAAGAGCTGCTTTAATTATCTTTGCTGCTCTGCAGTGGATAAAGAGTACCTCTCATGCTGCGCACACCTCTCTTTACTTCACTGAAACAACAAGTAGTCTTTGAAAAATCACCTCTAGATGATGTATGTTTTATTAATTCACTGTCTCTTTCATCCGATGTTGGTTTTCCGTGAGCATGAATTCGTTCCAGTTCACATCCTCGGCTAATTACTACCCTCCGAGTCATCCCGTCTTCATCGCAGGGCGCCTCCGCGAGAAAGGATGTAATTTATACGAAGCGGCGTCTTCGCTTCCTTTGTCTCTAACGACATCTCGCCGTTACGCTTCCAGGGTGACGCAGTGTAAGTACAAGAGGATCGGCTGCCCCTGGCAAGGCCCGTTTCACGAGCTGCCGGCGCACGAAGGCGAGTGCTCCCACCCGACRAAGACCGGCACGGAGCTGATGGGAATACTGGGAGAGATGGACCAGAACCACCGTCGAGACATGCAGCTCTACAACAGCATCTTCGGCCTGTTGTGCTATGAAAAGATTGGCTTCACGGGTACTGATAAATCCTGAGCCGTAAAATCATCTTGATGTAAAAAAGTTTCACTTGACTTTTCCGTTCTCTCCACAACCTCTCGGCCCTCAGAGGTGCAGTTCAGGCCGTACCGCACCGACGACTTCATCACCCGCCTGTACTACGAGACGCCACGTTTCACGGTTCTCAACCAGACGTGGGTGCTGAAGGCCCGCGTCAACGACTTCGAGCGCAACCCCAACCTCTCCTGCAAGCGCACGCTCTCCTTCCAGCTCATCCTGAAGAGCAAGGTAMGCTTCTGTTCCGCCAGGACTATTTTTAGGTTCCTGCTTGTCGACGGAAACTCAGGCTCCGTGTTTCATCACTTTTCTTTAAGTCGACTAAATTTAAACTGAGATCAAATGTTTTCAAATGAACTCTGACAATTTGAGTTGCGGCTGTCATCAAAGAAGCCTCATTAATTATGACTGGACGATCACAATTATGTGAGGACATCTCAGATATTACACAAGTGTTACTTATCTGTCTTAAGCCTGGTTCACACGGTTTGATTTTAAAATGGTTGATTTTCAAAACATGAAAGACCCCACGTGCTGGTTTAAAAAACATGGATAAAACCAGTTTGGTTGGACAGTAAGTGGTGTACAGCAACAGATTTCACTCACAAACATTCAGATGTCAGACAGGAAATCTGACGAGATCTCTCAAGATCAAACGTGAGTTCAGAGCAAGTAAACATGGCCGACGAGGAAGAAGCAATGTTGATCGTTCGTGGACTATTTTTAACAGAGAGAAAACAAAACAATAAGAGGTCTTTAAAGGGATCCCTGATTAGTTGTAACATTAGACTTTATTTAACAAACATAAATTTTAACTGTAAAATAAAGACTGTAAAAATACTGTAGGATGTTCAGTTTTTATCATTTTTAAACTAAAAGTTTAAAAATATATTTTAACACTGACGGAGCCATTTTATTTACACGCAAAGCATTCTGGGTAAATGATGATGTGGATAGGTCCTCGGTGAGAGGCTGCTAGCGAGCTATACCCACCCTGAAGGTTAATCTTGGACAATATCTGATGATCGACGCTTTTAAATGAAACCAGAGAGCGTTGACAGAGAGGAGAAGGTAGAAATGACTCAGCCTGTAACTGAAAATATAGATGGAGGACAACAGAGCTGCTTCATGGAAGAAGAACCTRAGCTTAGCCTGTTAGCTTTAGCGTTAGCCCTGACGCTATCACCATATATATGTGTATTAACTCAGTGCTACACATTCTCCTCTCCTCACTGAGGTCCTCCATCCACATGACAGAGAGGGGAACATAAAAATGACTCAGCCTGTAACTGAAAATATGGATGAGGACCTCAGTTTAACTTGTTTGTCAAGCTAGCACCCAGCTAATACATATAAGGCAATATAGTGTCAGCGCTAGCGTGAAGGCTAACAGGCTAAGCTGGGGTTCTTCTTCCATGAAGCAGCTCTGTTGTCCTCCATCTATATTTTCAGTTACAGGCTGAGTCATTTCTACTTTCTCCTCTCTGTCAACGCTCTCTTCATTTAAAAGAGTCGATCATCAGATATTGTCCAAGATTAACCTTCAGGGTGGATATAGCTCGCTCACACTGAGGACCTATCCACGTCATCATTTACCCAGAAAAATGGCTCCATCGTGTTAAAATATATTTATAAAAATGATAAAAACTAAGCAGCCTACAGTATTTTTACAGTCTTTATTTTATAGTTAAAATAAATGTTTATCAAATAAAGTCTAATGTTACAATTAATCAGAGATTCCTTTAACGTCCACTGAAATTTCTGGTGCTCCATGAAAGCCRTTTTTTCTTCCGTATTTTGGATTACCCTCCATGTTTCTGTCACCTCACTTTCTAATGAGCTACACGTCATGTTCAACAGGCTGCTACTCGTTTGTCCTCGGGGGACAACTCACATGCTGGGATATTGGGCCAAAGACAATCCAACATGTTGAATATCCCCGATTTGAGATCGGGGCTGTCCCGACATTCTTTTGAGCCGACGTGATCACTCGTAACACATCACACACACTGGGATACCTCATCAGATTATCTTTAGAGTCATCGTGACAGAGTGTTATGTCAGAAGGTCAAAATCAGGCCAAAAATCTGCATATTTATCTTTTGAACCCAACATTAGTGTGTGTAGAGTTAGAAAACTAAAAGCAGCAGACTTGAGGAGGTGAGTCCGTTTATTTATTTAATTAAGCAGGAGGAAATCTCCCTCCAAATGGGACGTTCACGAATCATCTGAATCTTTTAGACGTCGCTTGCTATGAGCCTTAAAATGAGGCAGACCAAGGTGTTGTGAACGTAAAACTGTATTTTCCTTTCTACATGTTGTGCGTGTGCTCCTGTGCTCCTGCAGGTGAACTCGGCCCTGGAGTGCTCCTTCCTGCTGCTGAAGGGTCCGTACGACGACGTGCGGATCAAGCCGGTCATCTACCACCACTCCTTCAGCAACGACGCCAACGAGACCGACTACGTCCCGCTGCCCATCTCCGACTCAGTGGAGTGCAACAAACTGCTGGCCGCTAAGAACATCAACCTGCGCCTGTTCATCTTCCAAGTCCAAAAATAAAAGACCTCGAGAGGAGGAGGAGAGGAGAGAGTGAAAGAAAAGAAGTGCGGTGATTGAAGACGACGATTAAAGAGACCGAACCATTGATACCTCTTAACACACACACACACAAACACACACGCTCGCACACACACATCTAATTACATTTACCTCCTTTTACAAGATAGCGAGTGTCCTTGCTGGAGAAAAGCTGAGAGTTGGTGATGGAGGGGTGAGGGGGTAACCTGTGTGGTTGTGGTTTGTGACCGACCTTTCACCTTGGGACACCCGCAGCCAAGGTTTCACACACACACACACACACACACACACACACACACACACACACACACACACACACACACACCGACCAAAGCAGGGTTTGCTGCGTGTGTTTGTCGCGTGTATCTTCTGTGTGTCTGAGAAGCAAAGCTGAAGCGACCGGAGCTCTGCCCGCATGTTGAGCTGTCCCAAAGACACGAGATAATGTGACATCAGTGACTGACTCTGCTGAGCCGCTCCAGTGCCCTGCTGTCCTTCTGTTTCCACACATAAAACAAAACAAATATTTTACGTCACACTTTGCCAGAAAAGATAAAAAAAGCAGCATCTCACCGTACCCCGCCCCCTCCTGCACACTCCTTTCTTTTTTTCTTCCTTCAAGAGGAGAGATGACTTGGCTGCATGAATATTTTAGTTCTTTGACCTCCAGTTGAGGTTTTATTGAACTTTTAACCCTAACACCAGGTTTTTTAATTATTTCTCTTAATCCCAGATATTTAAGTACCTGTGAACTTTTTATTTTTAAGTTGAGTTTTAGTGTGAGATTGGACGCCTGTGTGAATGTGTGTTAACAAATCTTACAGGTGAAACCAGATGTTTGCATACACTGTATAAAAACACAATCATTTTCTTTTAATTTAACATTAAATCAGACTAAACGTTTCCTGTTTTTYGTCAAGTAGAATCATCTAGAATCATTTCTATTTGTTAAAAGTCTGAACAATGATTTATTATGAATGTTTTTGCATTGAGACTCGTTTGTGCCCAAGTTTGAATGTTTTTTAGCTGTCTTGAGATTTTGCTTCAGTATTTCCACATAATGTTCTCTCTTGGTGAAGCACACCTGTCTTTTCTTCAGCAAAACACCCCCACATCATGATGCTGCTGCCCCCGTACTTCACAGCTCTCAGACTTGCAAGTTTCGCCACTTTTTCCTCAAAATATAAGGATTATTGTTTTATCAGACCACAGGACTGTAATTTTAATGTTGTTTTCAGAGTAACAGCTTCTTCCTCTCCAAGTGGACTTTCACTCAGAATTCCTCTGTGGATAGTAACTGTCTTACCTGCTTTGGAACCAAACCTTGTTCACAGCCTTGTGGTGTGATAACAGGATGTTCTCAAGTTATTTATAATTCTTTGAACAAACAAACCTTCAGACATGTGGAAATAGTTTATTTTGGCTGGTTTCTATTGATTTTGCCTCGATGTCACCCACAGAAGCAGTGAGTTTGAGATGTGCCTTAAAAACATTCAGATGTTGTCAACTAACCAATCAAAAGCCCTCGTCATACGAGCTTTCCCAAATTGTTTAAGAGCATAGTGCACTTGTACGTAACAAAATAATGTAATTAATCCAGCATTTAGCAAATAAAAATATTTACCTAAAACAGGACATTAGTCTGATGTAGACAGAATAAATGGTGTATGTAAACATCTGGTTTCAACAGCTGTAGCTGTGACGTCCTCCTGGACCTCCAACCGGACCCTCGTGGTTCYTTTACTAACTTTGAAATTCATCTACACTTTGAATCAACATTTAAAAAAACTTTGCGCTTTTAAATTGAAAAGTTCTAACATGATAAGTAAAATATTTTAACTTTTTTTTTAAAGTTTGCTTAACGGTTGTGTAAAAGTGAGTTTTGAGTAACAAGTTTGTGAGGAATCCATATTCTCAGATACAATCATACCAAATACATTTGATCAAGACAAAAAAAAAATCTAGAAACTGTAATTATCGTCGACCATCTGCTTTTCCTGGTGCATATTTTTAAATAAATCGAACTGGGTTTTATTAGGAAGTAATTGAGCTCCAAATAAAAATTGGGCACGCCGTGTTTTAGTGCAAAAGCTCAGATAATGAGAGTGGATCAACAGATAACTTAGACTGAGTCTGTGATCTGGAACTGTTTGTGATGATTCAGTGTGTGTGTGTGTGTGTGCTGGTTTATCTCACCTTGAGGACATGTTAGACTTACTTGAATGAAGACGAGATGATGTAACTCAAGTAGATTCTACTGTAAAGGCAAACAGCTCTCTCTCCTCCTGATCTCTACCTTTTTTTTTCTTTTTGTTTTTCTGTATTTCCGTGTTTTACTGCTTTGACTTTATGCCAGTGGACTCACTCATCTCACTATGGCTGTACATGTGCCTTTTATTAAAGATCACAGAACTGCACCGCTGCTTCTGCCTGAGTGAGTGCGTGCGGCCCCYGAACGTTTGGACCAAAATAGGCCCAGCTCTGCGAAGGCCCTTTATAAATTATGTATTCTGCAGCCGCAGTTATGAAATCTAAATTTAATCTGAGGAGGGAGGTGATGGATATGTTTCATTGAGTTTGATGGGAGMGAGTATGAATTACACAGAGTACAAAATGAATTATCCAGTGCTTGAAACAACTGCACATTGGCAGCTTATTGCTTCCACGACAGTCAAAAGTTTGGGGCGTACTGCGGCGGCGTTAGAACGTCGATGGCTCCGAGACTTTACAGCGAGCGTCTGCGGGAGCTAATTGAATTCTGGCAGAAATTTCAGCTGGATTCCGATCGTTCTGAGTGGATGTTTAGCAGAAGCTGCAGGGGTGTAAATAAAATTAGCCGCTGCTGAATTTCATTTGGCGTCTCCGGTTTCAGYAGTTGTGCCGATGTGCCCGCCGGCACACGAACGCAGCAGGGTCATCGCTGAGGAGGGAAAAAAACCTCTTTGATCATTTGAGTTAGACGTAAAAAGGTGGTGAAAACTGCGATAACGTCTACATCTTAATGTTTTATGATGAACTTCTTCACATTGCAACATTTAGTGACCTCATCTGTGACCTTTAACAGAAAGTGACCTGTGCTGCTCAACAGGACTGTGTAACAGACACTACTGAACACCAGGTGGCGCTAATGTTTGAGAATACCTGGAAATTTTCTGCCATTTCRAAGTTACACGACTCATTTCTTTCAATTTAAAAGCATCATTAGTTTCTCCTAGATCGATTAAAAGAAAGCGCCCTCTGAGCTTTTTATTTTCTTCAGAAATACTACGAGTCTCTTCACCTAAATCGTTCGTACTCGCCCGTCAGATTTCCTAAGAACCGTTTCTCCTCTCAGGTTCCTGCTGTTTCCTTTGGTCACGGGTGAGCGGTGAAGAGGTACTTTCGCTTTTGTGCTCGACTTCCTGGTAGACGCTGGCTRCGTTTCACCAACGTCATCACCAAGTTCAGAGAAATTGAACAGGAAGGATGATGCAGACAATGTGACCTCATCAGTCAAGCCATGGCACTTTATTCTCTTCACACAGTGCATTTCCTTAAAACACAATATATAATTTAATAACAATATAAAACTCCCATTTGTGTATATAAATTATGCATTCGGTACAGCAGCTCTGATATATTTTCTACTAAAGCTTTGGTACAGTGGAACATTTATCTCTGTGAGGGAGGGTTGTGTTTTCTCTATGTGTGTGTGTGTGTGTGTGTGTGTGAACGGCGGACCCACATCATCGGGCGATGAGCGTAGGAGTGTGAAACGATGTGTTTGTGTTTTTAAAAACGTGTGCAAGCGTGTGACTTCAAGCAGGTGTCGTTGCTCCGTCAGTACTGCGCGCTCCAGGCCGGCGCGCTCAGGTTGGCGCAGCTGGGAGGGTGGCAGCTACTGTGATGGGAGGGCGGGGGAGCCACGCAGCAGTACCCCACATCCCCGGCTCCCCCAGTTACAACTTTACTTTGGGGAAAGGGCACTGAAACGCCCCCCTAGAGGCAGACAAAGACAAAAAAAAAAAAAAAGAACTTAAAGGATTTTGCCACCACAAGCAGTTTCTCAACTCGTAAATGGTTCCCCTGTGGGAGATGAGCTGCTGGAGTCAGAGACACAATGAGGCATTTGAGAGCTGTACCTGAACCACGCTACACTGGAGGGGGGCGACGGCTGGGTAGGTCCCCAGCACAGGTTGGGCTTGGGTGTGGGAAGATGGCTGCACCCTCATAGCAGGACTGTAGCCTCCTGCACACACACACGGGGTGTTTGAAGTACTTGAGAAAAATTACTAAGTAAAAATACCTTAACAGGAAATGACTTTACGAAAGTAAAACTGATCACAATAACCATGAAATTAAAGTACTTTTACACACATTCATGGTGCTCAATTAAATAAATTCTGGTCATGTGTAAATTTGTTGTGTGTAATGAGATGTTAAATGTTAAAGAAGTAAAAGTAGCATTTTGTTTGTTTTGAATATAACAAAAGTAAAAGTTACGATAAAAAAATACTTGATAAAATAGATCCTCAAAACAAAAACTAAAATACTGTAATAAAGTAAATTTACTTTGCTACTCTACACCTCTGGTTCTTTACTGCGTTTTTTTAAACTAAAGTGAAACATTTCCAATTTTAAAATGGGTCACCTGCAGGGGCCGGACTTTAATGAAGAAAATCATTAATAATAATAATAATAATGTTTTTCTGATGTTAAGAGGGTTTGTTTGAGGGAAAATGTAATTTCTCACATTAATCAGGAAGTATTTGAGCTCTGCCATTTGTTGTTAATCAGCATAAATGCTTGGCAGCAGTGAGCTGAGGTGCAGCATCAGATGCTGTCAGACTGATGAAGCCTCAGCAGTTGATGAAATTGAGCTGTTTTTTTTGTAATTTCTGATGTTTTGCTTTGTTTGAAAATAAGAAACATATTCTAAATATCACAAATATTGTGGTGTTTTGTATTCAGTAAATTACAGGCCCCCTGCAGGCCACATCCAGGCCAATCTTAGTTTCATTATTTGTCCTTCCTGCTGATGAAACTCATAAATGAGCGATGCTCAGAAGCAGCAGGGAAAGAGACCGGTTCACTGTGAGACCCTCAGACTACATCTCTGACAGTGTAACGGCCCCCTCCTCTGCTGCTGCGGTTTCCTCTCACGCTCCCGACTCGACACCGACTCGCACACCTGCTGGAAGGGGACGGTACCTGACGGCTGCGCTGCAGGACCGTGGGCGTTCTGGGTGGGCGAACCTGGCCTGCATCCATGCTGAGCTGAGGTAGGGTACTGTCCGAAATAATACACAGGCACCTGTTGGAGGGAAAACGTCAGCCTCCGTTGGATCTCGCACAGAATGATGACATCGTGACACGTCTTTACCTGAGGTGAGGGCTGGCAGTAGCCGGAGGGGTTGAGCGGGGCAGGAGCTGCTGCATAGATGTAACCCTGACTGGGAGGGTAGAGGGGAGGGGCTTCTGCTGTGGACGGGCAGCTCACTGTGACGTGAGCGAACTGCGAGGAGAGATCCTCTACCTGTCCGGTCAGAGAGAGAGAGGAGGTCAGGATGCAGACATGTTGTGGTTCAGATGTTTGACAGGTGAGTGTTACGTACTGCCGAGTATGGGGGCGCCGCTAACATCTGTGGAGCTGTGTAGGACACAGACGCGTACTGAACCACCTGAGAGACACATGGAGACAGATAAATAAGTGTGTCCGTGAACAGATCTGTGTGTTTGTGTGTGTGTGTTACCTGCTGCTGAGTCTGGCTCCTGATTGGCTGATTGTCCGGGGGGTTGTACACAGCAGGTGTTCCATCGGGGTTGAGGAAAGGTTGCCCTGAGAAGTCAAAAGGTCGATGATAAATGTTTTTTTTTTTGTGTGTGTGTGTGTGTGTGTGTGTGTGTGTGTGTGTGTGTGTG